AAAATCCCTCAAACACCATGAAGTGTAGACATGATAGGCTACTTTCCACATTTCCAGCAGCAAAGCTGTCAATTAGGCCCATTATCTTTAACAGGGATCATTTCCTCCAACAAAACAAAATGTTGGCACTAATTAATGGTGCTATTAAGTGTCTGCAAATGATCAGTTTCTTTCTTATGAAGGGGTGGGATGAAAGTTCCACTTCTTTCCACTCCTTTTTGAACAATCTTTTCATTGTCTGTTGTTGTTGCTTTCTTTTCTTTTTTAATGTTCAAAATAAACTTTCAAATCAAAATCAATCAAATGAATTAAACTTCCCGTCATGACTGGGCTGCATTTCTGTCAGCCATCAACAGCTGATTGGCCAGTGGGTGGTGCTTTTTATAGGATCAGATTCAACCCTGAACTTACCCTGCTCCGGAGCAGGATAGCCGTTCAGAGTAAGTTACCATGGTGATCTACCCCGATAAGAACTGAACCGGCTTCGTGAGACCGAAAACCCAGAGTTAACCCTGAAGTTACCTCGCTAAGACATTAATCCTGCTTCCTGATACAGGCCCCAGGTGTCAAAGCACGCGCGTGTGACACGTTCAGTCGCACGTATATTGAAACGTATGGTACTCCATAGTGTGTATGTGTGTGTATGTGTATGTGTGTGTATGTGTGTGTGTGTGTGTGTGTTACCTGCAGGCTGAGCTCGGACAGTGTAACTCCCATGGACAGGGGGCGTTGTGGGTCTAACAGCTGAAACACAAACACATCACAGGTTCACCTGCTGAAACCTCACTTCCTGTTTGATGGAATCACCTGTCCGTCACTACGACAACACCACAGTGAACAGGTGGGTTCTACAAGTGATAACTGTACACCTGGATGTGAACCTAGACCTGGACGTGAACCTGAACCTGGTGCTGGACCTGGAACTGAACCTAGACCTAGACCTGGACCTGAACCTGAACCTGAACCTGAACCTGGTGCTGGACCTGGACCTAGACCTAGACCTAGACCTGGACCTGAACCTGAACCTGAACCTGAACCTGGTGCTGGACCTGGACCTGGACCTGAAACTGGTGCTGGACCTGGACCCAGACCTGAACCTGAACCTGAAACTGGTGCTGGACCTGGACCTGGACCTGGACCTGAACCTGGTGCTGGACCTGGACCAGTACTCACGTCGTCCTCGTAGCGCAGGTGGATGCTGCTGATCTTCACCTGCAGGTTTTTGATCACCTGAGTCGCCAGTTTCTCCACAAACGTGTCCTTTTTCTCCTCCAGAGGTTTTTCTGAAACAGACAGAGGACTGTGAGGACATGAGACAGGACAGAGACCTGAACGAAAAAACCGAGACAGGACGTCCGTCAGCTGATCGGACCTGAGCCTGAACAGAGACCTGAGACAGGACATTCGTCAGCTGATCGGACCTGAACAGAGACCTCAGACAGGACGTCCGTCAGCTGATCGGACCTGAGCCTGAACAGAGACCTCAGACAGGACGTCCGTCAGCTGATTGGACCTGAACAGAGACCTGAGACAGGATGTCTGTCAGCTGATCGGACCTGAACAGAGACCTCAGACAGGACGTCTGTCAGCTGATTGGACCTGAACAGAGACCTGAGACAGGATGTCTGTCAGCTGATCGGACCTGAACAGAGACCTGAGACAGGACGTCTGTCAGCTGATCAGACCTGAGCCTGAACAGAGACCTGAGACAGGATGTCTGTCAGCTGATCAGACCTGAGCCTGAACAGAGACCTGAGACAGGACGTCCTTCAGCTGATCGGACCTGAACAGAGACCTGAGACAGACAGGAAGATCTAATGTCTTCATGATGTGAGGAGGATCAGAGTCTTCGTCTGGTTCAGTCTGGACTCTGTTAGGTGGGACAGGTGGGACACCTGAGGTGAAGACGTACCTGTCTTGTTGTTGTGTCGTTTCAGCTTCTTCAGACCTTTTCTGGTCTTTTTGTGTTTTTTGGATCCTTTTGGGACTTTGGCAGCGTTAAAGACAGAGACGGCAGTTAGAGACAGGAAGCCCGAAAACACAGACAGGAAGCAGGAAGCACTTTAATCTGAAGGTTAATGGAGACAGGTGGAGGCAGGTGAAGACAGGTGGAGGCAGGTGAAGACAGGTGAAGACAGGTGGAGACAGGTGGATGCAGGTGAAGACAGGTGAAGGCAGGTGGAGGCAGGTGGAGACAGGTGAAGGCAGGTGGAGACAAGTGAAGGCAGGTGGAGACAGGGGAAAGCAGGTGGAGACAGGTGGAGGCAGTTGGAGACAGGCGGAGACAGGTGAAGACAGGTGGAGGCAGGTGAAGACAGATGAAGATAGGTGGAGACAGGTGGAGGCAGGTTAAGACACATGAAGGCAGGTGGAGGCAAGTGGGGACAGGGGAAGACCGGGGAAGACAGGTGGAGACAAGTGAAGGCAGGTGGAGACAGGGGAAAGCAGGTGGAGACAGGTGGAGACAGGTGGAGGCAGTTGGAGACAGGCGGAGACAGGTGAAGACAGGTGGAGGCAGGTGAAGACAGATGAAGATAGGTGGAGACAGGTGGAGGCAGGTTAAGGCACATGAAGGCAGGTGGAGGCAAGTGAAGACAGGTGAAGACCGGGGAAGACAGGTGGAGACAGGTGAAGGCAGGTGAAGGCAGGTGGAGGCAGGTGGAGACAGATGGAAGTAGGTGGAGACAGGCGGAGACAGGTGGAGGCAGGTGGGGGTAGGTGGAGACAGGTGGAGGCAGGTGGAGACAGGTGGAGACGGGTGGGGGTAGGTGGAGACAGGTGGAGGCAGGTGGAGGCAGGTGGAGACAGGTGGAGGCAGGTGGAGACAGGTGGAGACAGGTGGAGACAGGTGGAGGCAGGTGGAGACAGGTGGAGACAGGTGG